GTGAATTGTGCACGTTTGTTCGCATTTTTGTGCCAATTTGCTGCTTGTATATTCGGAAAATGGTGCTAACTCACATGCACAGTCATCACATGACCATAGAGTATATTACCTTGACCCAGGTCATGACCTACCTCTATGGGTGCTTTCTGCAAAACACATGCTGAGCTCAAAATAGGTAGTTTTACCAAATAATTTTGGACACAAAATTCTAACACTGCACTAAAAACATATTGCGATACCATTCTAACACATAGCTAACAATAGGTCACTTGGGGACATGGAAGGTCATATTAAGTCAGCCAAGGTCAATGACCTATAATGTAAGCAGTGAATAGGGTAGATGGAAAAATGCGCCATCTGTAACCATTTCCTTATCGTGTTTGTGAACCCGGTGGCATATAATTTAATATACCAACGTGCCTGTTCTCAGTTTATTGAAAGTATATCACCAAGCGTCGAAGGGACTATGCATAATGTGGACAACAGCTATGCGATCTTGAATGCCTGTAGATGCACGGCACACTATTTATCACCACAGAATATAATTGTACTAGTGACTAGACCTGGTCAGTACTGAAGTTTTTCATTTGGATGGGTTGTGAATATGATGGAAGATGACCGAAGATTACTTTTAAGTCAGACCATACTGACATTTTGGTGTATGAAATGCTTATTGTCCCACATTATGTAGTGTTTTGCCCCACAGCTGCACCTTATAAGATAAAGTTAGTCACAAGCGCATTGTGAAAAGTATCGTGCTTGTGGGATACTAGAGGACCAATTTTCAACGGTTATCCGATCTGACCTGACTCTTGTAGAGAACACAAATGGTCTGAATAAACTCTCCGCAGTTTTGACGCTTATTTCAGTGCCTTCAATATCTGTCTTGACGTGTCAAAATAGGTTCTCACTGCATCTATCCCAACGGCCGTTTAAATCTTTCGGAAGCTCTGGTGACCTCACATTCGACTTAGGGCAAAAAATTGGTGCGCATTCTTCATGATTTGACTAGAACTTCATAACGTTTTTTTCGTTTTGTTTTCCTCGTACGGCTTTTGGAACTTGGAGATCTCAGGGGGGGGGGGGGAACTTGGAGATCTCTCAGGGGTTTCCCTGGGATCAACTTCCCACAAGCCGAGCGCGGTCGTCTCAGACCCCCGGCCGGGCGCGGATTAGATATAGCGATGGCTCTGTACACGAACGTCCACCTGTATGCATTAGTCCTGAGCCGGCAGCCTTATCAGCTCTTATTCGCGGGCGCGATACCTCTTTCATGCACCAGACTGGTGAGTATTATTTACTGGGCAAATACGGCTGGCTCCTCAGCGGCCAGTGGTTATCGCGGAAATAAACGCAACGATAGGCACAGAGGTATGTAGGTTTGTGGGTAGCATGTGTCAAACCGTGCAGTATGTGTGCATACAACTAGGTACGCAGGTAGGTATCGGTAGATATAGTTTGTGATTCCATTCATAGTTCATGGTTCCCCTTCAAGCTTAGTTGTGTACCGCAAGTGAATTATTCTTAGCTGTCGCTAGCTGCGGCTTGTAAAAGTATGTGGTTTTCCTCTGCTTCTGTCTGTTTATGAACATCAATCGTAGCAGCAACAGTTCTGGGAATAGAATGGGTTGAACTCGCCGGGGGTAAACGTGCGCGATCGCGGTGTGGGTGGGTTGCTGGTGCGGTGCGCAGTCAGGGTGGCGCTTCGTGCTTGATGGTGAATGCAAGGCTGCGTTTTCTATGCTCGCATAGGTGAGCTAAGTCATCGCTACTGGTGGCTTCCACCTATTCCATATTTTAATCTCGATGAGCCTGAAAATTCGTCTTCCCCATGCTGCTGTGCTCCGTATTTGCACGCGGTGTCTTCACCGAACTCGTTTGGCGCGACGTTTGTATGCGTTTTTGTAAACAGCGCATCACATCATTTAATAACAAACTTGTTCAGTGGCGAAATAAAACTATGAAAACACACGAAATCATCACATGGTTAACTATGCAAGTTGAAAATATATGATCTCGTTGATTGCCGTTCAGTAAAATATGATCGTTTGGATTGATTTAAAATGATGACATTTTCACAAGGATGTTGACGCCTTTACAATCTCTGCACGCGGTGTGACATTGCCCTTTGCTAGTTACAGTCACCACATCTGCTGTGTAAACTCTGGCTATCGGTGGTCCGCGAGGTCATGTGACTCATCGCTGAATGATGAGATGTCATCAGACATCTCTCGATGATGACGGTGGAAACGATGTTGGCATGTTGGGGAAAACCTTTTCAAAGAGAAGCTGGCCTTCTGCTTACAGGGAATTGGGGATTAGAAGCAACGCCCATCAGTAGCCGGTGTGAGGATGCATTTTCTTAGTGAATGGGACAAAATTCCACCGTGGAATTTAATTACTTAACGTATGCGGTGTGGCACGCCTACATGCGGCGGCGTGGTTGCATAACATAAGCGTCAAACAGTGGTTCGAAATACTATAGCGAAAACAAGATACGTGACTTGACAAAGAAACATAACGGCTTAAATTCGTCGCGCCGAAAGACCATCTCAATAGAGCAGTGCTCCTTCCATTCCATTTAATTATTAATTGCATGTGCCTGTAGTAAACAGGAGCACTACATTCTTAGGTCACCAACACATCGAATGGATAAGTGTCTGTGTCTCTCGCTTTTCATGCACCGGCATCTCTGTTTGGCCTTACATGTGACCTTTCTCCGTGACCCTTCAATGCCAGCCTTAGAGCAGAGTTGACTTAGAATAGTTCCGTCTAAAATAATGCATAACGGTGGTATATTCCAGATGGACCGTTGACTATTACGCCATCAGCAGTTTCCTATGGCAAAAATCGTCATCAATCAATGCTTTCCATCAAAGCTGCAACGGATAAGGCCTGGCTGGTCGGCAATCAGTTGTCTGCGTCTGCCGATGAACAATATGATATAAGCTAGAGCTATGGCGACAATGTAGCCAATGCTGGCCCGATTGTATCGTTTAACCAATGGCTCCTGTTATATGAAAGGTCGATAACTGTCAGTGAAAGCACTCTGAACTCATCATGCCAAAAAAAAAGTAGCAGCCCTATGTCTTTCTGACTTATATCAAAGGACAGTGAAAACTGCTGCTGAGAAAGTCGCTGCTTATATTATCTTCTATATACCAACATTGACAAGGGTAACCAGTGTAATCTGGTTGAGCCACTTGATGTTCAGTGAATGCTTAAACGATGGGTTACACATTTGGATGACAATATCTAGCGGTGATGACGTATTTTTAGAAATCAATGACCTCGAAATATTTGCCACGCAATTTTTTTAAAAAGGTGACGTTAAGTGGCGGGTAAGTTGGGACTCGCATTG